GCCAATCAGAGCCTGGTGTTCAGAGGCAATTTAATTCCCTCAGGAGGAGGGAGGGCTGGGGGCCACGGAGGAGAGGGTCCATCAGCCCCGCCCAGCCCTGCAAGTGGGTGGGAGGGAGGTACCCTGCAGCTGCTCGAGGGGCGCTTGTCCTCCGCTCCCCCACTTCTCACTCCTGCCCACTCCCACTCCCACCCCGCTTCTCCCTCTCTCTCAAGGCCTCTCTGTCTGTGACAGCCGAGATCCACAGTGCCCACCTCCATTTTTTTTTTAACTGATGAGAAGATGCTGGTCCCGAGAGAGGCAGGGAGAGGGTCCCGTTCTGCACCCTTCTCCCGCGGTGGGATCTGGAGGGTTGCAGCCCCAGACAATCAGGAAGGGCTTTGTCTCCCTGAGCCCTCCCAGCCTCCCTCACAGAAGTCAGGACACAGGGCTGCCACAGGACACTCACGTGGCATGTCTTTATTAATCACCTACTGTGTGCTGGGCGTACAGCAGTAAACAACATAGAAATCCCACTGGCGCGCTAGGGGAGGAGAAGAGGAGAAGCGAGTTGAATAAGACCATAGGGGAGCGAGATGAGCACTGCCTTGAGAAGTAAAGCAGGGCAGCCTCAGCCGGGGGCAAACGAGGGAGGAAGAGGACAGCTGGGCAAACACCTGGCAGAGGGAAGGAAGGAAGGTGAGGATGGAGCCAGGGTGGCAGCAGCAGGATGACGTGCAGCGCCTGGTGGATGCGTAGGACTTGAACTTATCCTGACTGCTTATGGCAGAGGGCAGTCAAGGAAAGCTTCCTGGAGGAGGTGGGGCCTTCCTCCAGGGCCCTGCAGGCAAGAAGGACACTAAGGGAGGTAGTACTGCCTTGGGGTCCAAAAGTCCCGAGGGAGCTAGGCCTCTTTTGAGTCCTGGCTTTGTCAGTCATTCCCTGTGAGACTGGGCAAATATCCCCACTCCTTGGAGCCCATTTCCTCATCAGTGGCACGGCAATGGTCCCGACCTCCTGCAGTAGCCGACAGGACGAGATGCACATCACGGATCCCGCCCCGTGGCAAGTGCTCGATAAGGGTTTGCTGCCATCCTCTGAGAAGGAACGCATTGCTCAGCTTGCCAGACCAGGCCCCATCTCCTCTTCCTTTCACTGGCTTCCAGCTGCCACCATACCCATCCCACCCCCACTTCCTGCTCAGCTTGGTCCAGATGCCAGGCAAGTGACTCTGCCAGGGGCTGGGGTCTTGGAAGAGATGGGTCTATGGAAGAGATCCATAGCCTTCCTTCCTTCCCACCCCAGGGCCTTTGCACATGTTGATCCCACCCCATAGAACAGTCTTTCCCTCTCCATCCCCTTTCCCTGGTTATTTCCCAGTCAGCCCTCAGCAGAAATGTCACCTACTCCAGGGCAGATATCCCTGTCACAGTCTAGACCAATGTCTGCCACTGGACCAGGAGACCAGGTTGTTTTTGCTCGTTGCCATGGAGGCTTCAATCCCGTAGTTGTCAGCAAAAACCACAAGTCTCTGTTCCAAACTGCCCAGTCCAAACCCCATCTGCTGCGCTTGAGGAACGCGAAGGCCAAGGAGGGGACGAGATCTGCCACGCTGCACAGCCTTCTCCTGCCCAAGCTGGGTTCCTCCCAGAGGCACCCACTGAGCTGCCCGGTCTCCTCGGGCCCCTCAGCCCCGGAACCCCACCTGCCACCTCTCAGATTGATGTTAAGCCAGCTCAGGAGGAAGCACCAGGCCGGAGCACGTTTAATTTTAATTTAGGAATCGGTTAAGGCTGCAGACCTGCTCGGCTCCAGGCTGTCAATCAGCCTTCCTCAAGGCTGCATCAATTAGTTTAAAAATATTGAATGTAATTTTGCCTGACACAACATATTGCAGCTACTGCAAAATATAATTTATTTTAGAAGAAGAAATAATTAAACTAATTTGCATGTCAGTCAGCTGAACTGAGATGCCAAGGTGGGGGAGGGCCATGGGGACGAAGCCCCCATGGGGCAGCTGCTCCTGGCCACTGGGTAAGGTCAGCGTGGGCCTGTGTCTGAGCAGCAGCTGCCACTGGGTGGACAAAGACCCTGGCAGCAGGAAGCCCCTGCCATTGGACCTGGACCAAGTCTTAGAATCAGGGGACTTAGGGCCCGACCCCAGCCCAGCTGCTGACTCACTTTGTCTCGAGCGAAATTCCTATCCCTTGTGGGGAGTTTTCTCATCTACAAAATGGATTTAATGATACCTCCTTTGGGGGTTGTTTTGAGGCTCACATGAAGTCACAGATAAGAAAGGGCATCATAATTTGGAAAATTCTGCACAAAAGTCAAGATGAAACAACCAGCAGATTCTTTGTTTTATGACAGAAGCACGTAAGGTGGCAGCCACAGAAGTTATTGGTTATTATAAATGACACAGATCATGATCAGGAGGGCTGTGGAGGAGCCATCAGAGCCGGACATCAGGCTGGACTCCTCCACCTGTCACCCTAGGGCCGTGGTTTGCTATCTTTGATACACTTAGAGTACTCTCAGGAACTATTAAAAAACCACTGGCCAAGCCTTGGGAACCAGTATTTTTAAAGGCTTCTCAGGTGATTCCAACTTATAGTCAGGCCAGAGAACTACTGGCCCCATGTCAAGGGCACTGGGACCGCCTGTAACTCTGGGAGTTCCAGGCCAGCCCCAGTTCCCTAGGACAAGCTCTGCAGGTGGCAGCTGTGACAACTTAGAAGCCCACTCAGCTGTCTGCCTCGCTCATGTCAGAGGGGTCAGGGCTTTCCCAAGGGGTGACCTGTAACATTTTAAAAGGGGAGGTAGGAGAGGCCTGGGTGTAACCCACAGCAGCAGTGTGACAGTGGGAGCCTCCCCTGCAGTGGGTTTAACACTTCAGGGGGGTGACCGCCACGGAGCAGTCTGTCCTCCTCAGTCTGCACACTGGCCCATCTGCATCTCTCCCTCAGCCCTGCCGCCCGCCCCCAACTGCCCTCAGGCCTTGGCCCAGCCCAGCCTACCTTGGCTTCAGCTGGGAGATGCGGAGAGGGGGCGCCTGTGCGCCTTGCCCTCCACCTCTCCAGAGCACCCCAATCTGTCTGTCGAGGTTGTCTGGCGATGTGCTTTAAAAATAACAGCTCACCCGGCATTCCCAGTCACCACTTCCACCTCTCGCCCTGAGAAGAGCCCCTTCTAATCATTGAGACAGCAGTTCTGGATGAGCCTAGACGATAAGGTGTCGGGGCGAAGGGGAACTGCAGGGAGGGCTCGGCCCTGAGCTAATGAAACACTCCCCCTCCTTCCCCTGGGCTCCGGAAGGTGGCCCCACCTGCCCTCCTGTCTCCTTTTCTCTTTTTATCAACACACCAGCAGCTGGCGTCAGCATCCAGTAGGTCCCTGGGTTTAGAGAAGGAGGCAGCCGGACCGGTCCACTCCTCTCAAAACTCATGGGGCTCTTGGCTGGAGACTCCTGTCATCCAAGTCCCTGCTTGGAGGTGGGTGGAGTTTCTGCTCCCAGGTGATGCTTCTAAGGTCAGTGGCAAGTGGAGCAGGTCAGCAATCAGCACACGGTGAGGACAGCTAGGGCTGGGGTAAGGACACTCAATGCCCAGGGACAGGGGTGGGAGGCCAGGAAGGACCAACATGAGACTGTTGCTTCCAGAGGCCAGGCTGGGATGGGGTGTGGCATCTAGGATCCTTTCTAGGATGTCTGTTTATATTGCACTTACTATGTGTCGTACACACCGTGTTAAGTGCTTAACAGATATTAACTCTTAGTCAACCTATTACTCTTAGACCTGTTTTGCAGGTGATAAACTGAGGCACAAAGAAGTTAAGTGACCTGACTCCAATCACACAGCCCCTTCAAATATTAGCCTCAGATCCTTTCCCTTAGTCGCCAGGCCCTGTTCCTTTTCCCCGAGTGGAAGCTGGTATCAGAGACAGCAGGATCTTACCCAAGACCAGTCAGTGGGTCAGGATCACAGCTACACCTGGAATCCAGGCCTCCTACAGTCTCCATCCTTCTAGGCTTCCTCCATCCCTCAATAAACGTAGAGAGCCTACTTACTCTGCGCCACATCCCAGAGTGCTGGGGACCCAGAGAGAAATGAGACAGGGGTCTTGAGCTCAAGGACACTTCGGTCGGAGGAGTGGGGACTTAGCGGCTTTGCTGGCCACAACCTTGGGCTTTTCTGGCCCTTTCAGGAGGAGATGTGCAGAGAGCAGGGGTTAGGGGTGTAATAGCTGTGGATGCTCCAGGCACGTTCTGGGCACCCTAGGTGGTGAGACAGGTGAGGCTGGGGGATGTGATAGCCATAGCGGGCATTATGTGGGGTCACAGTAGCAGGAGTGAGGCTGGTCATGGTTGTGGCGGTTATGGTGGGGATGGGGATGGCACTGGTGATGATGGTAGTAATGCTTTGGGTGATGCTGACAGAGGGATGCTAGTGGTGGTGAAGGTGGTGATTGTAGATGCTCTTAATACTCTGGATGCTGGAGAGATGGTGAGGGTAGAGCTAGTGGCTATAATGAGGGTGCTAATCCGAGTGGCAACGGGAGTGATGCTGATGATCTCCTGGGGGTGATGGCAACTGTGTGGTGCTGGTGACCGTGGTGTGGATGGCGATGGTGGCGCAGCTGGTTCAGTTGGTAGATGACAGTGTTAGTCCTCGTGGCGTAATGGTGGTGGGATGGTGAAGGTAGTGATGGTGCAGGTGCTGATGGCGGCATTGGGGATGAGCTGGTACTGGTGTTTATCATCATAGAGGGGCGGTAATGATGCCAGTGGTGCCAATGCTAGTGGTAATTATGGTGATGGTACCGTGATGGAGGTGGGGTTGATGATGGTCATGAGTATTCCCCTAAGTCCAGATGTGTGCAGTCCTGGCCCTTGTACCAGCTTGGCCGACTCAAAAAATAATCTCAGCATGACCCCAGTGCCTAATCTTGTCATGGTAGCAGATGGAGTTTGTCTACCACTCATGCTTGATGCCTCTCACCCTACTTCTGTGCTCTTATCACAGACAATCATGCTCAGCTATCCCGGGCATCCCTAAGGATCCGAATCCTCGACGTGAACGACAATCCCCCAGAACTAGCCACACCCTATGAGGCAGCTGTGTGTGAGGATGCCAAGCCAGGCCAGGTACCACTGAGGGGCTGGGCACCGGGGCCCCATGTAACTGGGCCCAGGATGGCCTCTGCCTCACCAGCACCCCCTGCCCCTCCTCTCCCTTCAGCTCATCCAGACCATCAGTGTGGTGGACAGAGATGAGCCCCAGGGTGGGCACCGCTTCTATTTCCGCCTGGTGCCTGAGGCGCCCAGTAATCCTCATTTCTCTCTACTTGACATCCAAGGTGAGTTAGGTGCGAGCCACCACATCCCCAGATGCTTGGAGGGAGGGGCCTGCCTCTCCTGCCCTCTTCCCTCATTAAAGATGGAGGGACTGAGACACTCAGAGAGCAAGTGTTAGGTCCAGGATCACAGGAAGTCTGGGCCGGACTGGGGCTGGGGCCCAGTCCCCTGCAGGCTGTGGGTTGGCAGAGTGAAGAGGGGGCATCCCAAAGGTAGGGAATAGTATTGGAAAGATTTAGAGAGGGCTTGGGGGGCTGATCAGGTCAGAGTTGGGGCGAGGACCCTGTTTAAGTGATGACAAAAGAAGACACACACACACACACACACACACACGCGCGCACCCCTCCCTGTGCGCTCAGAAGTGCTTCCTGCACTCACATTTCCCTTGGCACCCTCATGACACCCTGGAGGCTGGTTTTCCTACTCCTTCCCATTTTTTGGTAAAAAAATTGAGGCTCTAAGAGGGAAAGGAACCCGTCCAGGTCCCCTGGGTGTCAGGTACAGGGGCCCTGCCTCTGCTCTCTGCTCACCATCTGTGCAGTGAATCTCCCCACTCATGCTGGGCTGAATATGAGTGGGACCCACTTCCAACCCACGTCCACGTGAAACTGAAGTTTCAGCCCTTAAGGAATGGACTGAAAGGGAGGCAGGTTCCGCCCAGTGCCAGTGCCGGCCGGGTTCTGTTGGTGGCTCTGTGTGTAACACTGGCCAGTGTCTGTCCCTCCTGGGATCTCGGTTTCACCATCTGTAAACTGGCGCTGACACAGCCCCTCCTTGAGGGCTGGGTGGCCCAGAAGGACGAGGGCTACTAAACATCCATAGTTATACTTAGAACGTGTCGACCTCTAGGTGCAGCAATTACTTATTGAACACATTATTGGTCATTACTGAGACACGGTGCCTGTAGTCAGGCTCTGCTCTGGGTCCTGGGAATGCGACGTCAGACAGGACAGGGAGGTTATGCACTAATGAGGTGAGACGGAAGTCAAACAAATAATATGTTGGAGATGCTAGGTGGTTAGTGGAAGGAGGAAAAATGAAATCTCCTTCACAAGAGTCTGGATTTTATTTTGCTCATTACTGAGTGCCTAGAGCAATGCCTGGCACATCGTAGATGCTCATTGAAATGTGTTACCTTAAACCAAAACATAAAGCCAGATGAGAGTAGAAGTTACTTTAAATAAGGGGGTCTGGGAAGACCTATCTGAGGGGATCCATAATGAGGAGGGATCTAAAGGAAACAAAGGAGTGAGCCATGCAGATAACTGGACTAAGAACTATCCAGGGGGAAGAAACAGCAAGTGCAAAGGCCCTGAGGTAGAAGGGTTGGGCCGTTCAAAGTACAGAAGACAACCTGCATGGCTAGAGGGAGTGAGAGATGGGACCAGGAGGGGATATAATCAGAGAGACCCTGGGGTCCAGATTGTGTTGCTCCCTTCTGGCCCTGGGACAGGTCAGGTTCTCCCCCAGAACCTTTATACTCCACCCCTCAAAAGGGAGAACCCCTAGAAGACTCTTCATCCGGGCCTATTTGCAGTTCCGGGAGCCATATTAAAACTATGTAACAAGCAGTGCAGCCGATCAGATAGGACCAGAAAGGATGCTCACTGCCACGCGGGCAGGACCCCGAAGCCCCGACTGTGCCTGGCATTAACTCCTTCATGGCTTGACAGTGTCGAAGTTAGGCAGATGCTTGAGAGAAAGGCCAAGTGAGGCACCGGGAAGAACTTGGGAGAGAGGGCTGAGAGCCATGACAATTTAAACCTTTTTGGAAGTATTTTAACAACTGGTACGGCCCAGCCTACATAGTCTAGAAATATCCTGAGCTGCCCCAGGAGATGCAGAGAGGCCTAGACTGAATTCTGCAGGTTCAAAGTCTTCCCAACCCGAGGAGCCAGAGGTTCTGTCCCAGCTGTTTCTCTTCGGCTTGTGGCTCCCAGAGCTCCTTCTGGTGTGAGCGTCTCTGGGAAGAGGGTGGCAGCAGCACGCTGGGGTCAGAGCTGACAGAGAAGGCACCCCCGCCAGTCCCTCAGCCCCTTCCCGGAGCGCGCCAGGCCCCTCCTCCTCACTGTATAAATATCGGAGGTGACAAACGGCTACCCCAACCCATCTGTTTCTTTGTACAAATGTGTTGCCAGTTTGGAAACGTGGTTTATAAATATTGCTTTTGTAGCCAGGGATTGACACTGATGGATATCAGGCCAGATGCATGGTTGCAGGCCTGGGCGGAGATCCAGCCTAGAAGGGTGGGGTGGGGCTTGGGGGCCCAGCGGTTTCCTCGGTGGGAGGCAGCTGCTGCCGGGAGGGGAGCTTGAGGGGTTCAAGGATGGTACTGGGGAATCCCTTTCACGAGGCGGAGGAGTAGCAGGGACCGCATCTCTCACAACATATGGCAGCATGGCCACGGCGGCAACCGGAGAGGCAAACATCTCTGTTCCTGCTTGGCAGTTCAAGCCTGAGCTGGGGCCAGCCTCTCCTTTCTCAAATCTGCCAATTTCTCTGTGCCACCACTAAACTAGAAGCTCACACGAAGCGCTTTTAACTTTTCTTTCACATCCACTCCTGTATTTTACACTCTAAGCTCCCTTATGTAGAAGGTGGGCTCCTCCAGGGCAGGCACCAGGCCTGTCTTATTCATTATGATGTCCCCAGGGCCTAAAACCGTCCTGACACACACAGTGGACCCTCAAGTTACAACCGGCCCAAAAGACAAATGACTTGGGTTACGACCAGCATTTGGGGTTTAACTTACGACAACAAAGTCTTGAGTTACAACCCAAATGCCGGCCACATGTGCTTCCAGATGGTCTCAGATACGGATTTAACCCTTAAAGAGTTCTGGAAGGAACATGACGGCATCCTTTCTTGTGTGGGGTTAATTGAGAAATCCTGGGCCAGTGTCTCTCTAAGGATACTGAGATCTGCCTGTGTACAGGAGAGAGACTTTGAAGGCTGTGTAGAGGAGCCTGAGCCTTCATTGACCATCTTCAGTTACAACCAGCTCTCACGAATGAATTGAGTTCATAAGTCAAGGGTCCACTGTACAGGGTGCTCACCTCCTATTTGCTGTTGAATAAATGGGTACGTCACTAAATTACTTCTTTTTTTAAAAAATTTTTTGGAACATGATCCCTGTATTGGTCAGTTTTCTTTTCTTTTCTTTTCTTTTTTTACTGATGAAAAAATTTTTAATTAATTTTATTGGTATATTTTAGGTATATCATATAATGACATTCATCATTGGAAATTTGCACCTTTACACAATCTCTCTTGGTTCTTATTTTTTCCCCCTTCCCCTGCCCTCCCTTCAACCCCTCCATCCCTCCCTCTTTACAAAGACTTTGTTTCCATTTTCTCATTTTCTCATATTAATTCCATTCCCTTCTTTCCTTTCCCCTACCCCTCCCACCTCCCCTTCCCCTTTGCCCCTTTCCTTCCCATTTCACATCATCTATTATACCTTTGAGTCCTGATTTACTAATTTACTTCTTTACTTAAAACCCACCAGTCAGTGGCCTCCCACTACTTTTAAGAAAATAACCAGGAGTGGTGGCGCATACCTGTAATCCTACCCCCTGGGAGGCTGAGGCAGGAGGATCGCCAGGAGTTTGAGGCCAGCCTGGGCTACATAGTGATTTCAAGGACAGTGGAGGACATAGCGAGACCCTATCTCAAAAAGCAAAGAACCAAGCTCCTTACCAGAGTCGGCCTCCCAAACTTGCCATGATGTGCTCCTGCCTCCCCCTCCCGCCCAAAGGACTGCTTTTTCCCACCTCAAGGCCTTTGCCTGGGATATTCCCTTCCCCTGGCCTCATTATTCCAAGGCTCAGAAATAATACCACTTCTTCCAAAAGCTCTCCCTGACCTCCCAGGTTAGATCAAGTCCTCTGTCGTATGCTTTTTCTCTACTTTTCCTTCACAACACTCACCATGGTTTGTAATTGTAAAACCAAATTGTGGATTTATTTAATTAGCATTTCTGTCTCACATTGGAATTTGAGCTGTGATCCAGGACTACAGCTGATTTAGCTCTCTGTGAGTTCCCTCTTGTGACTAGCTTGGTGCCTAGCATATAGTAGTTAATGAAGATTTATTTGAAGGAAGGAGGAAGGACAGAAAAAGGAAAAAAAAGAAAGAAGGAAAATGAATAGACTGTGGTGAAACGTGTGGATAGATGGAGGATGGATGGATGGGTGGATGGATGATAAATGGAGAGATGGGTGAATGATTTCACTAGATACGTTCAAAACAAGTCATTCTCTCTGAGCCTCAATTTCCATATATGCCAGAAATGCAATGCTACAGCTCTTGGCTGTTGGGAAGATCAAATATTGCTATGGACTTAAGTTACCCACAGAGTTCTTAATGTACCAAAAGCATCCAGTCAGTCCCACAAATGAGTCCCACACCATTCCTGCTTTTCTCCACTTGCTCTTGCATCTCCTTTATTCCCCAGCGAAAGGCAGATGCTTTGACTCACCCTTTGACAGGAGGACTAGAGTCTGAATCAGAGGCTCAAGCCAGAGCTTGCAGCGCTGACCCTCGACCACGAGTTAGCTGAAAGATGCGGTTCATTCGGGCGTCATTTCTGCAGACTGGCTCAGTGCCGGGCCCTGGCTGTCGGGGTAGCAGAGGGATGGGTGCACGCTAGCTTTCCATAACCTCACAAGTGCCGTGGCAGAACTGTGCGTGGCACCTGTGTCGTTGGAGCAGGGAGGGGGACCCATAAATCCTTCCTTCCCAGGGAAGCAGAGAAAGGAGGCCGTGGAAAGGAGGTGACATTTAGCTGGAGCGTGATGGATGAGGAATGTGCCCAGGCAAGCAGGTGGAGAGGGTGTTCCAGAGAGCAGGAACTTTACGAGGAAAGACACAGGGGAAGGCACAGAGCAAATGGGGCAGAATCTGCAAAATGTATTAGCAAGTATTTATGGAGAATTTCTATGTGCTGGGAATTATTCTAAAGCTTACACATCAATTTTCCCATTAAACCCTCACATCTACCTGATACGCTTTTTCTTAGTTTACAGATGAGGAAACTGAGGCTCAAGGAAGCTGAGTTTTCCAAGCCAGTAAATGATACACTCAGTATTATTTTTTTACCATTTGTATGGAAATGTTCAAATTTAGACAAAAGCTGACAGGGCCATAAGACTCCTGAGCTTGTCACCTCATGGGCAACCAAGTCATGACAAACCTTGTCTCATGCAGACCTACAGTCCACTTCCTGCATGTGCCCAAGGTCACCAGTCAGCCCTCACAAGGATTCTTTTTCCTGCGCCATGTCTGTGAGAGGAAGTCCATATCTGGAGTGCTGAAAGGGGGGACAGCTGGAGAAGGAATCGGCTCTATCCTGGGACCCTGGGTTTCCTTCCCGACTAGCCCCCTCAGGCCTCAGTTTCCCTCTCTATACAAGGACAGGCTGGTCTGAATGATCTGGGGCTGCAAAGTTCAGTAGGGACCCTGGCTTCCAAAGTCTGAGGTCGGAGTCCAGTCTGAAGACTTCGAGGGCAGGGAGAAGGGCCAAAAGCCCCCCCTGCAAGAAGACAGAGCCCCCTTTCGGGAGCTGGCTGTAAGGGAGAGTCGCCACCCTCAAGTTTCTGCAGCCTTCATGCCACCGCACTGCAGAACTGAGAGGAACCAGCAGTGATCAGGGGTCAGGTGGCCTGACTGGTACAGGGCAAATGTGAGGAGGCAGGGGAGACGGAGAAACTGGGTCTTGTGCCCCAACAGCCAACAGACAGGTCCCTGAGGCTTGTCTGGCTTTCTCACGAGTAGACTGGAGCTGAGAGTGACCACCCTCTGTGCCGCCTCACCAACCTCTCTGGCCTGGGTAGAAAGGAAAGATGAGGGTAAGGAGATGTGAGTGATGATGCTTTAGGGTCCCTTCATCAGGCCCCAGAGGCCAGGCCTCCAACCTGAGGGCCCGGCCTCTCGGCTGGCATGAAAGACAGAAAGGTCCCTCAGCCAAAGGCAGGTCCCAGCCAGTTTCCCAGTCCTCTCTGATGACCCTGGACTTGTCAGGGGCCAGCAAACCACAACCCAAACACCACAGGACTTCTGGGCTGGAGTGGAATTTAGAACAAAAGCAAGCTGTTGAGATGCATGGCTCAAAAAAATTTTTTTCTTTTTTTTTTTACATAGCCAGGGCCAGGACCTTGGTCCAGCTGGGGACAGAATCGTGGACTAGCTGAGGATAGTACCTTGGCACAGCTGGGAACGAAATCTTACAAGAGCTGAAAACAGCATCTGAGACAGCTGTGAACAGAATTTTGGGACAGCTGAGGACAGAACTGCGGGTTATGTGGCTGAGGACAGGATCTCAGGCAGCTGGGAGCAGAATTTGAGGGAGATCTGGGAACAGACCTAAGAATCAGTGGGAGGCAGAAATCCAGGGTGTAGAGAAGCGAATCTCGAGGAGGAATCATGGGGTCCCTGGGACGCGGTGGGGGCGCGTTGATCCTGGCCCCAAGTCACACACCACCCCCTCCCTCTGGAGCAGACAACACAGCTGCCGTGCACACGCAGCACGTGGGCTTCAACCGGCAGGAGCAGGACGTGTTCTTCCTGCCCATCCTCGTGGTGGACAGTGGGCCGCCCACGCTCAGCAGCACGGGCACTCTCACCATTCGCATCTGCAGCTGTGACAGCTCCGGTGCCATCCAGTCCTGCAACACCACAGCTTTCGTCATGGCTGCCTCCCTCAGCCCTGGGGCTCTCATCGCTCTCTTGGTCTGTGTCCTCATCCTGGTCGGTGAGTCCATCAAAACCACCCACTCTTCCTGATTGTCCTCCATCCTGGGTCCCCAAGTTACCTTCCGTGCTGGCCCTTGTGCGCCCTCAGTTTCCCCTGCATGGAAGAATGGACTGGCCTGAACCATGTTCGCCATCTAAATGCAGCTCCTATGGGAAGTCTCCTCAGCACAGAGCAGCCTTTCACCTAATCCAGATGGTGGCCTCCCATCTGGAGCAGTTCAGACCCCTGAGCCTCTTCACAGCCCAAACCTCTCCCCAGTGTTTAAAAACCAAACCTATTTTTAATCCTCTTGTGTCTGTGATCCTTTTCTGGGTCTCCATAAAGAGAATGCATGGCCAGGTACACCGAACCATTTTTCAGATGAGGAAACTGAGGCTCAGAGAGGTTAAGTGGCTTGTGTAAGGGTACTCAGTAGTCATCTGACTTCCAGTTAGGTTCTCTCACTCTGTGTTCCCTGCTCCCCTAACCTGCTATGAATTTAAGCTGGGAGCAAATCTTTGGGCACCTGTGGCAAAACCTTAAGACATGGTAGGGAGGGGCGAGATCCACATAGGTACTGGCCCCATCAGCAGCCATCTGAACTCCAGTGTCCCCAGTGAAGAAGTCAAATTTCAGGAGCCATTTAGGGATCAAGTGGGGTTCTATCGCAGCAGAGCCACCCAAATACAGAAAGGCACTGATGCTCCAGTCCTGCCTCTCGGCTCATGGTGCAGCCAGAGCGGGGGGCTCTTGGGAGGTGCAGGTGACAGATGTTAGTTTTGCTCATTTCCTGGGAGATGGCAGCTGTCCCCACCTCATGCTGCCCACCGCTGGCATGGCTGCTGCCCAGCTTCCAAGGGCCTGCTGCACCTCTGGTCCTTGTAGAGGCCCTGGGCAGGCTCCACCTTGCTGGGAAGAAGCCCAGCCCCCCTCTCCCTGGGCCCAGCCTATGGCTCAGAAAACCTTTTTCCAGAGAGTGCACTTTACAGCGGTTTCATTTTCTGAGGCAGTGCAAACAAATTTCTGCCTAATTGCCCACAAACGAAGAAAGTGCACATCAGTGCTCTAAAGGTGACGGGCAGAATCACTGATCAGGCCTGGCACATCTGTCGCCCGCCGCCCGCAATCCCCACCATCTGCTCTCTCGGGTATCCCCTCTGCAGCTCCCAGCTTCTAGCTCTGAAAGCTGCCCACCCATCGTCCCCACCTCTCCCTTGACCCCTTCCCTCCCTCTAGCCCTCCCCATAGGTCTGTCCCTTCCCCTGTCAGAAGCTCCCTTGCTAAGTGGTGAGCCAGCACCCTGCCCCATGGCCCTAGCAGCTGGCTCTGGCCAGTGGCCTGGCTGGAACTGTTTGAAATAGCAAGAGGAGACTAATTCATGCCCCAGTACCCAACATGTGTCTGTCCACCCATCTGTCCATCCACCTACCCACCATCCTTTACCTACATATCTATCCAGCGAGTCCTACCTATATGCTAGACTGTTCCAGGCACTGGTGTTCATCAGTGAACAAAAGAAACCTTTGAAAGTCCTGAGTAACTGGAACATTGGAGTTGTCACCACTGAGATGGGGGAGACTGACGGCGGGGAAGGGGAAAGGATTATTATTGCCACTTTAGACACATTACATTTCAAATTCTCTTGGTCAACCAAGAGGATGTATTGAGTGGGAAATTGGATGTACGATCTGGATTTCAGGGGAACAGTTCTGCTGAGATAGGGAAGGTGTTGTCTTCTAAATGGAACTAAAGCCAGGAGATGTACGAGGGCACCTAGAGAGGGAGTGTGGATGGAGGGTCAGCTCTGAATCCCGGTCATCTGACCCGAAGGAGAGGCCCACTTAGAAGACACAGAATGAGCATCAGTGATGTGGAAGGAGAAAGGGGGGTGTAGAGTTCCGCCAGCTGAAGAAGAAAGCCAACCCAGATGTGGTGGCACACTTCTGTAATCCCAACACTCTGAGAGGCTGAGGCAGGAGGATTGCAACTTTGAGCCCACACTGAGCAACTTAACAAGATCCTGTCTCCAAAACAAAAAATTCTAAAGGGGGCTGACAGTGTAGCTCAATGTGAAGACTTTGGGTTCAGTCCCCAGTACAGAAAAAAAAAACCCTAGAAGGGGACAGACCATTCATTTATTCTCACATTCATTCACTCACCCAGTCTCCATATTCTCCATTCAATTCTCCATTCATTCATTCATTCATTCAGAAGCATGAGTCAATTGTTTACTACATGCCAAGCACCAAGTTAGAGGAACATTCCCAGGTCCCAGGGCATAGTTTAGGGTGTGTATTGCAGAGGCAGCGGGAGGCAGACATGCCACAGAGCAGGATCCAGTGTGTGGCAGCGCTGTGACTCTCATCTCCAGTGGCTCCTTCATCACCCAGAACCTTGTGAAAACAGAGGCTGCTCCCCTCCCCTCCCCCAGCAAATCTAGGGTGGACCTGAAGACAAGGGGCGGCTGCTGCTGCTGGCCCAGGGCCACACGCAGAGCTGGCGTGACACAGGGAGAAACCCCTTTCCAGGGGAGCTTGGGGGTGAAGGCGCTGAGCCCCGCCTGGAGCTCAGAAGGGGCTCGTTTGTGCAGGGCGCAACCTGAGATCACAGGCCTTCCCGAGCAGACAGGAGAGGGCGAGGGTGGAAGAGAGCTCAGAGTCAGGACATCTTTCTCTTTCAGCTGACTCCTTCACAGCCCCAGCATGGCAGTCCAGGGAGGTGCACTCTTCATAGAACTGAGGACAGAGACCTCAGAGGTTGGCTCCCGCCCTGGGCACTCATGAATACCCCAAACTGCTGTTTGCCACCTCCACCCCCAGGGGTGATCTGGCCTCCATTTGCACACCTCTGTAGAAGGGCAGCTCTCCACCTATCCAGACGGCTCATTTCTGACTGTAAGGTGCTTTTGAAGGGAACTATGCAGTGTTGAGGCTGGGCCTGCTCCCCTGAGGGGTGGAGTGGGGTCCCAGTAATGCCCTGGGCCCCACTCGGCCCTCACTCTGTGCCCCCTTCTCCCTCCCTGCCCAGTGCTGGTGCTGCTGATCCTCACCCTCAGGCGCCACCACAAGAGCCACCTGAGCTCGGATGAGGACGAGGACATGCGGGACAACGTCATCAAGTACAACGACGAGGGCGGCGGCGAGCAGGACACGGAGGCTTATGACATGTCGGCCTTGCGGAGCCTCTACGACTTCGGCGAGCTCAAGGGCGGCGACGCGGGCGGCGGCGGAGGCGCGGGCGGGGGCGCGAGCAGCCCCCCTCAGGCCCACCTGTCCTCCGAGCGCCACTCGCTCCCTCAGGGCCCGCCGAGCCCCGAGCCGGACTTCTCAGTGTTCAGGGACTTCATCAGCCGCAAGGTGGCGCTGGCGGACGGGGACCTCTCGGTGCCGCCCTACGACGCATTCCAGACTTACGCCTTCGAGGGGGCGGACTCACCGGCCGCCTCGCTCAGCTCGCTGCACAGTGGCTCCTCGAGCTCGGAGCAGGACTTCGCCTATCTCAGCAGCTGGGGCCCGCGCTTCCGGCCGCTGGCCGCGCTCTACGCCGGCCACCGCGTGGACGACGAGGGCCAAGCCTCCTAGCCCCCCACTGGACCATGCAGTTCCCCACTCAGCCCCTTCCTCAACCTCCCCATCCTCCCAGGGCGGCGGGACCGGAGGGGGGCTTGTTAGGGGCGGACTCTCCGGCGCCCCCCCAGGGTGCAGCTTTCGGGCCCAGAGGTGCAGAATTATGGCCATGTCATTAAAAGAGGCGAGACTGGCGCTGCGTGACTCTGCGGTCAGGAAGGATGCCGCTCAGGCCTGGCTTGGAGCGCAGTGCTGGAGGGAGGATGCGCTGAGATGCCCCCACCCTGGTTTCCTGCATCAAAGTTAAGAGGACAGGAGGGCTGACCATTTACTGTGCACCCACTGTGTGCTGGGACGCTGTAAGGAGTCGTCGTGGTAACCACGAGGTGGGGTCCTGCAGGTACCAGATGGGGAAGACCCCCCCAGAGAAGTGGTTGTGACCTGTCCGGGAACACATAGCCGGTGCATGCTGGGGCCTCTGGCACTAACCTGGCCTTGGACAAGTCATTTCACTTCTCTGGGCCTCAGTTTCCTCATCTGTCAAATGAGGTTAATAACAGAACCTACCTCGAAGAGTTGTGAGGATAAGAAGGGTTCGTGTGTTGGGTGGTTAGGGCAGTGCCTGGCACATAGTAGGTGTCCAATAAATGTTCGCCTTTGTTGCTTTTGTCATCTCTGACATTATTAGAAGCCCCTGTGTCTGCCCCTTGGATCTGAGCTGCTTTCCTGGCTCCCATCTGCCCTCTCCTTTTCCCAACATCTCGGGGGCAGGGGTGGCCCCAACTGTCAGCTCCTGATCCGCCCTGACTGGGGGACAGGGATGCTCCCAGTGGCTCTGGAGTCTGAGGCCACATCAGCAAAAGAGGTGTCCCGAGAGGACAACCTGGGCAGCTCCAGACTTGGGGTGGGGGTGGAAGGGCTGGCCAGAGACAGAGGGGTAGAAGCCCCTGGACATGGAGGGGTCCTTATTTGTCTCATGTAGGAACCCATGTCTCCCTATCAACTTAAGAAGCCCCGGGCAAAGTCATCACCAAGAATGTCCAATTGTAAAACCATGAGTGTAAGATGTAGGTTACTTCTTCCCCCATCCCAGTCCTACCCCCAAGTGAAGGACTTGTTCCACGTGGATCCCTGTGAATTCCAGCTCCTGTGAGCTGGCCATCCTTTATCAAGGTCTTCAAACTGCCATAGCCTCAGTTTCCTTATCTGCAAAGTGGGGATGATGGTAGTTTCTCTCATAAAGGGTTATTGAGGCTGATAGGTGATGTCATCAGCTCTGACCTCAGTCCCTTCCTGATACATGGAAAAGGCTTGATAAATGCTCATTCACCCTTTTTGTGTTACCCTTCCAGGGAGCTTTCGTTCAGCCCTCCATGTTTGCCGAGGTCCACTGTGATAGATCCAGAGATGGCCAGCAGGTCCTGAGCACCTTACCTGTATTATTTCATCTAAATTAGGTACTGGCAGCCTCACGGGTGAGGAACAGGCTCCATGAGCAGCAACCTGCTGAAGGTTACACAGGTGACAAGTAGCTCAGGACTGAACTGGTCAGAAGCAAAGACATCCAATAATCATGTGTTTATTAAGAGATGTGGCAGAATTGACAGAATAAGATCCTGGAAACACTGAAGGAAGAAAGACTGGATAACTCCTGGAGGGCTTCTCAGAGGACATGACTCTGGCTGGGTCTTGAAGATTGAGTATGAGATGACCATGCAAGTGTAAACATTCCAGGCAGCAAGGAGATCATGTCCAAAGAGCAGGGTAGAGGTGGGCAGGGGGCAAGAGCAAGTGGCAGCTTTAGGGAGGGTTCGTGGTCCCAGGGGCTCGATGGCAGGCAGGGGCAGTGGTCAGGGGTAAGCCAGGGAGGGGCAGTTGGAGGCAGGTCGTAAAAGAACTTGAAAGCCAGGCTAAGCATGCTTTGTTCAACTGGAACATGTCCGCTAAAGTCCCTGGAGGTGGCTAATGGCAGGGGGTGGAGTCCCCTACCAGGGACCACTTGGAAACTGCAGTTCATCCCACGTAGGACCCTTTGCCCGTAGTTCCCATGGCTTGTACCACCAAGGGGCCTGGTGGGACCAGAGGAAGGGGAGATGTACAATCAGCTCTTCCACCTATGGTCACCATATCTCAATGACAAAACCCCAGCGACTATTCTGAGGCTGGTCACCGACACCTCCACTGTAGAGGGGAACCAGAGAGGAATGAAGTGACTGGCTCAAGGTCACTCAGCTGGTATGAGGCCAAACTGGAGTCACACAGGCCTCCTAACTCCAAGTTGCTGCTCCTTCCACATGCATTAGTTGCCTTGGCAGATTCTGACCCTGCCGAGATTACAGGTAGGTTACATGTCCGGGGGCCATGGAGTCATAAGTCCCTTCAAAATCTGTTCAAACCCCACACATGGGGAATGACTTACCAAGGTTATAAAGATCTTACTAGAAAAAAGAAACAAACAAACCAACTTTGTTCTCCCAGGTTCACCTTCTGAGCCCATGGCTCTGCAATGTAACCACTGTGCAACTTTGGACAAGTTATTTACCCACTCTCTACCTCCATTTTCCTACCCATAAAGTGCACAGGCTGTCAACACCACTCCACCAGTTGTAGTGAGGATAAAATGCAGTGACAGCAGCTGACTCTGTACTTCCTGTGCGCTCTAAGCCCTGCACATGAATTAACTCAATCCCCAACGATCCAAGGGGTAGGCCCCTCTTCTCAGCAGTACTGGGGATTGAACCCAGGGCCTTTGCATTGAGCTACAGCCCCAGTCTTTTTAAATTTTGAGACAGGGTCCCGCTAAATTGCTTTGGCCTCCCGGAATGTTGGGATATCAGGTGTGAACCACCCCCCCACCCCCGGCTGTCCAGCAGCTAGTAAGGGGAGATGTGAAGATTTAAAGCTGGGCCCTCTGGTCCCCCAGAACCCACTGTTCCAGGCAGCCCCAGAAACATCCTGGTGCATCTGAAGTCCATGCTCTGGGGGACCTGGTTGCCACTGCTGCCCCCCACCCCAACAGCCTGTGATTCCTCCAGCCTCCCACGGTTTCTGCTAGTTCGGGGTGGGGCATGGAGGGAACAACAGCCCCCCCCCCCCGCCATCCTGTTTGCTTGCTGTCTTTCTGCTCGGGCACTGGGCCAGCCTGGAGTGAGAACTCTCATGAGGTGCCCTCTCACACCAAGCACTCCATGAGCTTTCCCATGATTTGGGGTCACAGAGAAGGGTCTTGTTATGAGGCACACAGCCTTTGGCCATCTGTCTCATTGATTCCCACCAGGTTCCCCAAGAGTGCCAAAGCCTCCCCCTGTGTTAGGCAGAGAATACAGCCCCCACCCCCACCTCCAGGCTCCAAATAAGCACAGTGGCTCCCCAGGAAGCTCAGAGAACGATGGGCCTTCTGCTCACCATGACTGCCCTCCTTGCAAGGCATCTAGGAAAGCGAACAGAAAAAATCCCCTTTTATTGTCATCATCCCCATCACCATCACCATCCTTATCACGGGATAAAAGACTATTCAGGGTCTTGAGCAAGAATTGATGCATAACTGGCCAAGAATTTTAAAACCCAGGGATGTGAATGACAATGACGATGATGGTAATGATGATGATGGCAGCACACTTATGTAGCACTAGCTGCATGCCAGGTGCTGTACTAAGCACTGTAGGTAATTAATATTAATAGAGATGACACTCATGGAGAACGGACTCTATGTTCAGTATTTAGCACTTTACATCATGTGCCTTGTTTAATTTTAACCCAATGCTTTTATTAGCCCTATTTTATGAGGCTGAGAGAAGGGACTCAGAGCTCACGGATGAGGAGGGTCTCACTCAAGGGCACAAAGCCTGTAACCTCCCCAGCCCCCACCCCTCGGCTCTGCACGGGACCTAGGCGGCTCAGATTCTCAGTGGAGTTGGGGTGGGGGGAGAAGCAGCTGGGAAGAAGGGGAGACATTCGAGATTGGTGGCCGAGCTGGGGAGCACGCCGGAGGGGGTCAGAGCTGGCTGGCTGCAGTGCAAGCCTGGCCTGCCTCTCTGGTGTGTACCAATGTACCTGTGTCCATACATGGCTGCAGATGGGCTCCAGGAGGCAGGAAGCCAGTGGCGAGCACCACAGGTCAAGAACCAGCCTCTCACCTCCTGATTCAGAGACCCTGCTGCTGTCATAGGGGGCGGCTAAGCGCCCGCATCCGTCAGCCAGCCATCAGCACCGCCCACCCCAGGTCATGAAATCAGCAGCTCCACTTACCTCCTGCCAGCAAGTGCACTCAGGCCAGCTCTGTCACTGGCCGCTGAGCCTTTAAAAAATGTAACCCTGTCAGCCCTCACTTTGAAGTGAGAGGCCTCGTGCTTCAGTGCACGCGTGGGTGCAGGAGCATGGAGCACATGGTACATGCGCACACTGTCCCAGAGCACAGGTAACACCTGCTCGCACAACACAGACACATGCGTGTACAGAGCCATGCACACGGGGTATCCCTGCACTCTGCAAATGTGTCATATGCAGCATAGAGACAAAGCCTTGTGTGTGCACTCATGTTTGTAAACAGAGCATATCTGTGCCTCCTGGAAGTATGGTCTCTGCGCACCTGTACATGTATGTGTACATGTGTGCCTACCAGTACTCTTCGGTGAACATATTTTCCTATTCAAGCATGCCCGTGTACACATATGTGCCTTCCCCAGGAGCTCCCATTCAAGTGCACAGCACATGTGTATGGTGTACAGCCCCCGATACACTTGTGCACATGAACACAGAACTCTACACACTCACTCTTAATGCATGTGCACTTTGCATGCATGCTCCCGGAAGCATGCATAGCCTCAGGAAGTTGGTTACAAACTCCAAATTCAAGTGCTTGATGCCCAGAGTTGTGTTTGCACTGATGAGCCCGTACGTCTGCGTGTACGAGCATAATATATATAACCCGTCAGCACCTAGACAGGCTGCCTCCAACAAGCGCACAGATAATACACCTTCATGCACACACGTGCAAGAATACGGACTCCTGTGCATCTGCCTCCTATGTGCAGGCACCTCCACTTTAGGCACTGAACCCCCTCTGTGCATGTGCTCCTTTCAGGCAGGCCCACCAAGCTTCCTTCCCCCACAGCCATGCCACATGTGCCTGGCTCCACAGACCAGCACACACACAAACAGACACGTGCCTCCGGAGCCCCTCTCCCCTGCGAGGATGCAGTCTGCTCTCAGCACGTGGAGGCACATATGCCCCCTCCGGGGTGCAGCCCACCCCAGCCCCAGACCGTCAGGTGTGCTGGGGACAGCAGGAATGGCGCCCACACACACAAATCGCCTCGCACGTAGAATTGCATCTGCTGCAAACTTCTCATCTGCTGTGCAAATGATGATTAAATGTTATTGTGTAAGAGAAAATGGCAAGGAGGGATTCATTAGCTTTATTGTCAGGAAGGACTCCATGGACTCCAGCTCCCAACTCCAAGGCTGGCTTAACCCCCTGTGTGCTGGGGACGCTGTGCTCTCATGTCGGGTTGCAGGGAATGAAGGCCCCAGACACAGGGAGCAGAGCACTGTGGAAGGAGTCATGATGCCCCAGAATTCACTCCAACCTTGCCACTTATTTGCTGGTGGCCTTGGACTGGCATTGACAGTTTCTCAGCCCTGCCGTGTCCTGAGGAATCTAGAGAT